TAGCGATTAACATCTGTTTTAATAAGCATTTTAAATTCATTATTATATGTAAAAAATTTTAACTCTTACACCGTTTTATGTGTGCATTCATTGCATTGACTGTTGAAATACAATGACGTAATCTATAGCCGTATCACTTTTACAGACAAAACAAGTTTCAGTACATTTCAAGTGCAAAAGGCGGTAAACATTGCGTCATTAAACCGCATAACTGTTAAACCGATGCTTTGGTATCATTCAATACATTACACCTCATAGATTCACATATAAAATTTTCATAATAAAAGGACCCAAAAGTCTTGACACTTAATAACTAGTAAATACCATAAATGTCAAAACAGTGCATACTTTCCACAGACTGGACTCTGAAACGCATGAATCACTTGAAAAACAAACTTAATATTGATTTGACATTTTAATTCAGTTGTACTATTTGTTCGCTATATATACGCCACACACAGTGTATACCCCGGGTATATACATGTATATAAAGTCCGTACACTTAACAGTGAAACGCATACTAACCGTAAACACGGCGCTCAACGCTATACGCTATAAATCGGTGCAAACTATACGACCACTCGTTGTCTCCCATAATAAGCCATTGAGTGATAAAACTCCGCAAAACTTGCTATTAATTGGTCTGAAGTCGCGAACTATGGCTACAAATGATCCCAAAACAGCCAAAACTCTGTACGAGTTCACCGCCAAAGACATCGACGGCAATGAGGTGTGTATAGTGTCTCACATAATACCCGGGTGTTTATGGGGGTCAGCCCTAGTAATCAGTGTTTATACTATAAGTCCCGTAATTAGTGCTGTATTTGAGTGTCAGTTGCCATAAGCTATAGAAAAGTTGTTGTGTTTTTGAACCCCCCGTGAAAACCCCCCTTTTATGCCATATAAAGCTCCCCCGTATTGACTAACTGTCCACTCATTTATGTTATGCAAGTTTTTCATACCTTTCCACTCGTGATATTAATATTGTTTGTTTGCATGTCTTTCCCCTTACAAAATAATTTTTAGTAAAAGCACTGGTAGTCCGGGTAATAGCTGTTTCAATGTAACTATTTTAAGATACCTGTCCTCCCATTATTGACCTAATGAATGCACCTATACTACGGAAATGTGGTTCATACTACGGTATTTGTTTAAATACCTGACCCCTCATACCATTCCCATAAAAATATGTAATAAATACTAACCGTTTGTATGCCGTTCCCTTTGATGAGCACAGGTATCACTGGACAAATACAAGGACCACCCGGTGCTGGTGGTGAACGTGGCGTCCAATTGCGGTCTAACCAAAAACAACTACAAACAGCTGAACGAGATGTACGGCAAGTACGAGGGGCAGGGCCTACGCATACTGGCGTTNACTGGCGTTCCCCTCGAACCAGTTCAACGGTCAGGAACCGGGATGTGATATCGACATCAAAGAGTTCGCTAAGAAAAATGACGTCAAGTTTGATATGATGTCCAAAATCGATGTCAACGGTTAGTATTGTTAGTCTAACATACCGTTCCCCTACTGTATAGTCAGTGAGTGGACAGGGATCTACTGCATAGATCGCGCACTTATTAAAGTATTGCATGTTTTTAATTTAGTTTATTTTGTATTTAATTATTTCTATACAGTATTTGGGGAAATGAATGCCGTTCCCCTACCTCATAGTGGACAGGGATGTTAATTAATTTTTAAACAGTTATTGAGTTATAAATCTTAGGTTTGATTTAAAAATACTTTTCCGGTAATTACAGTATTTATAGTCCGGTTTTATAACGCTTTAGTAACATATAGTAAACTAATAGCCAGTAGTATATAGTCTATTAATTGTAACAATTAATAAAACATGAATTAAAAATAATTATCTCATTATCGGTACTATAAACACATATCAAGACTCAGATACCGGTAATACCCTGATTATAGACTACCTGTGAATCCATGCGGTACTAACATTTACCATACATTTACGTGTAGGTAACAGCGCCCACCCTCTATACCAATGGCTGAAGAACCAGAAGGGAGGCCTACTTGGCTTCGACGCCATTAAATGGAATTTCACGAAGTTTTTGATCGACAAAAACGGCGTTCCCATCAAACGGTTTGGCCCGACCACTGAGCCCAAGGACTTGGAAAAGGACGTCAAGGCTCAGCTGTAAGCTACTTGTCATCCCGACCCGCCAAAGACCTCCCGTTCCCCTCCCATTTCAACTTATTAATTGGTGGACAGACACCTATAGTCTAGTATATATATACGGTATGTCGTGCTATAGTAGACACGGAAACGAATTTTTAACTATTAATTGATTTGTTAATTAAATACTTATTTATATTAACAATGAGTTTATAATAACTTAGGTTTTGATTTTGTATGCAATTTATTGTGTATTTTCTGTTTATTTAATACTATAATATGTATTAATACTTTTAATTATAGTAATTATTATATAATACTTGATATTATTCTTGTAATTGTAGAGAATATTCTTGTGATTTGAATTGGAAATACAAATTAAAATATTGTTTTTACTTATGATGTGATGTGAAATGTATTAAATGTTTTCTCAAAGAAATCTAAATATTGTTTTTATTGCTATTAATAGTACTTATCATACTGTATGTGGTTTTAATGTTAAAATCGATACACCTTTAAGTAATTATCTATTGATTTAGTTTTTTGTTATTCATTAAAAAAATAAGACGACTTTCCCTACCGGTGCGCATAAGTTACAAGTGCCCTCGCAAAAACAGTAAAATATTTTTTATTACCTGTACTGTTTGTATAAGTTACGGTACTACCGGTATTTTTAATGAAATAGTATTTAAGAATAGACTAGTATTTTGAGTGAAATATACATTTTATTGATTAAAATATGGTATTTATTACAAATAAAAATCTCATGATTTGTTAATCAGTTACCGGTAACAGTATTCATGAGTGGGAACATAGGAAGTCTAAAATACTGGATTTAAAAAAGTTAAAATATTTGTTTCAATTTATTTATAATCTATTCACTTATAGTATTATTATAATATGGCATAAGTTGTAGCAATGACTAAAAATTATAACTATATTTCCCTTAATATAAGAGATAATACGGTATTTTTGGTTTACATTACA